AAACAAAACAAAACTGTATTGTTGCTGTATTGTCTCCTGTTATATTGTAAAGTGCTGAGCAAACTGTTGGCGCTATATAAATCCTGTATTATAATAATAATAATTTTAAAAAAAGAGCATCTAAAACACCTGCAGTTTTATTTCTTTTTAAATTATGGTATGTGCATGGGAACATGTAACAACTGAAAAGTAAGTGTTTTTCTAATTTGACTGCAAAAGGGGAAATATACGTTAAGCTTTTGCACTGGACCCTGGACACAGACACTAAAACAGACAATAAAACCCATGGTTCTCAATGGTTGAGGACAGAGCAGGGGCGGACTGACCATTTGGAACTCGGGTCAGTAGGGGGCCCTATGAGATGTCCCTGGTACCTTTTTCATAGGCTTTTTTGAGTTTGGTCAAGGGCACAGGGGCCCCATGATCCCCTATTGCCCGGGGGCCCCATGAGTTGTCAGTCCGCCCCTGGGACAGAGCCAGCAACAGAGACCTGCAGAGGTGCCTCTCTGTAGCCCAGGCAGTGGTCATATAGTGGGCAAGTCAAAGTTCAGGGCTGTCAAGCAAGGGACCCGTGAAAATGGGTCACTTACCTAGTGGCAGCTATATACACTAGTAGTGTCACTAAAATGGTCAGGGTAGGTAGATGTCAGTCAGGTTCACTGTCAGTGTCCCTGAAATGGTGTGTTATTGACAGCCAGATGTACTGTACGTGTAGACTCCATAGACTCCAGACCTATCTTTTAAGCTATTCCCACCATTCGGTGTGCAATTACAATTTTCAAAAGATCCTACCTATTGCTGAAGGCCACCAATAGCCTGTTGCCACCCGCAGTACACATATGTGTGGTGGCAAAAGGGTGGGTTTTAATGCCCATATGCCACACATATTATCACATTACCACTGTAACAGCGATTTACAGAGCTCACATGATCGGCAATCCTTCCTACCCCCCAAGCGTTTAGAACTTTTTAAATGGCTGGTGGTAAGGGGTTAAGAATTGTAGCATTTGCTAACATGCCTGGCTATTGCACATATGACAATGCCCTTATCACAGTGCCCACGGCACCTCTATGTAAATGACATTGGACTGCACAGGTTTAGCCCGTTTCCTACATTGGCAAGGCCATATTAATACGAATAATCTGATAAATTAGTCTAGTTACAAGAAAGGTTTACCTGAACTGTAAGTGTAGGGAATTGTTGTTACAGCCTTCTTGGTAGAGGAAACAGAAAATCAGTGAGATGTAGTTAATAGATGGGACAAGGTCTTGAAAGCCAAAGTCTGTATGCCTACAGGGTCCAATTATATAAATCTAGGACTGTTTACAATCCATTTACTGAGAAATCAAGTATTTGTTTTGAAAACCTTTTGCTTCATCCGACGACTGCAGTAGTTTGTTATTCAAGAACAGAAGCAAACTTGCTTCATTGCTTGTAGCAGTGGAAAATTCAGAACTTTTCTCCTACTAATTCAATTAGGTTAGGAGGTAAACAAACTCAAGCGTGCATCCTAGTAAGTCAACTTGTCCGACATATTACACAGGGCTCATTAGGCATAACCAGGAGATCTAAGATATAAATAGAGAACAAACTGAAATGTTTGTTTGGCTATTTCTAGAGGTAAGAAAATGTTTGTTTTGCAAAATATAGTCACAGTATTGTTTTTCATATCTTTTTTACTGGAAACAAAATAGGTCAGTGTCAAAATATCAAGCAGATCTACAGCAAGGTTAGATATCAGCAATGAACTGGTGATGACACCATGTTATATGTACATTTTTTTTATTGTAGTTGCACTGAAGGTTACATATAACTTTCTTGTAGCTAAAAAACTGTTTTTTTTGTGTTTTTTTTTTAATCAAGTGCTTTTGATGCGGGAGATTTCAGTGATTAAGATTGACAGAGATCTGTTGTGTGTTCCAGCTGTTTAGTGTATAGAATGCATGGAAGCAATACTTGCAAAATTATTTCTTTCTTTGCAAACAGTGTATCAAAAACAACCTAAAAAGCTTTTCGCCATATATACCGTATATTAGATTTTTCTCAAGTTCTCCTTTAATCCTTGTAACTTGAATAAATTAACATTAAGGTTAAAAAACTTGAGGGAGATTTAAAAAAAATAAACTCCATTGCTTTGCATTCCCTCATAAAGTAAAATGGATTGACCTTCCCATTATTGGTAGAGAACCTTTTAACCTCCCTGCCGGTATTCCCGAGTGTAGCTCGGGGTAAAGTTTCAGTACCAAAAGTGGTAACCCCGAGCTACACTCGGGCTTACCATGCGGCATTGCACAAGGATTCCCTACAGCGCTTACCTTGTCCTTCGCTCCTGCGATGCGTCCCCTGCAGCGTTCCCGGCCATCTCCTCCGGCCGATGCCGGCATCTGGTTTCCGTGTTCCGGTCCCTGTGACGTCGGGGCGTACGGGCGCCGGAACCGGCGGCAAATTTGAAAATTTTTAAAAAATGACATTTTTTTTTTAAAACGACTATTTCATAGCAAAACATTCCTGTATCAAAGCATTTCACATACATTTTGTCCTAACTGCTTTGTCCTGTGCCCTGCCTGCATTTTGACTGTTCTTTCTGCCTGGAAACTTAGAAAAGTCCATGGCGTCCAAAAAGCGTCCCTTTAGGTCAAAATCGGTTTTAGACCGGCTAGAGAACAGCGATAGTAAATCAGAACCACTTGCAGAATTGAGTGATAATGATTCGTGGGGAAATTTGTCAACTGACAATTATGCGGTCCTACAACGTTGTACATAAATTAATGTATGTCCTTTTTTCCCCCACAAATAGAGCTTTCTTTCGGTGGTATTTGATCACCTGTGCATTTATTTTTTGAACAAAAAAAGACGGGCAGTTTTGAAAAAAAAAACAATATTTTTGACTTTTTGCTATAAAACATATCCAGTAAAAAAATTAAAAAAATCGAATGTCTTCATTAATTTAGGTCAAAATGTATTCTGCGACATGTCTTTGCTAAAAAAAATCCCAATCCGTCTAAGTTAATTGCTTTATGTGAAAGTTATAGCATCTACAAATGGCATTATATATACTGGAATTTTTTTCTTATACTAGTAATGGCAGTGATCAGTGACTTATTGCAGGACTGCAGCAGGTATTCTGACACTGGGGGGGGAAACTGACTAACTGCCACTGACATCCCCAGTAACACTAATACAGTGATCAGTGCTAATAAAAATCACTGACACTGTACTAATGACACTGGGCAGGAAGGGGTTAACATCTGGGGTGATCAAAGGGTTAACAGTGTGATGTGCGCTGTTTTACTGTGCGCTGTGTGTGTTTTACTTGGGAAACATACTGCTGTGTATTTCTCTGCTGTGCAGAGAAATACACAGCAGCATGTTACTGCTGGCAGGAGAGAGACCTGTGTTGTTTACACACAGGTCTCTCCCCTGCCACTGTTCCTCGGCGATCACCAGGTTCAGACATCTGAAGTCGCCAATGGCGGGCACCGGTGGGGTGGTGCACACTCTCCTTACCCAGAATGCAAAATCACATATATTTATGCCACCCTGTAGCAGTAGTTCTGCTATAGGTTGGTAGGGAAGCGGTTAATTGGCTCCTAAATTTTCTGATATGCGAAAGAGGATGGGATGAGATCCTAATAAGCAACACGAATGACACAAAAGGAATATAAAATCTTAAAAGAGAAAGATCAGCTGTAAACATCTCAAGTAAAAAAAAGCATTCAGTGTAGGTACCTAGAATGGAACACAAAATGACATCAAAGGGTCCGATAGGTGTGCTGGGGGTGTTGAATGTTTTTGATGCTCGAGTTGACACTTTCTCAATTTCAATTTCTAATTATATTAACACATCCAGATGCCAAGGTCTGACAACTCATGGGGCCCCCGGGTAATAGGGGATCATGGGGCCCCTGTGTCCTTGCCCAAACTCAAAAAAGCCTATGAAAAAGGTACCAGGGGCATCTCATGGGGCCCCCTACTGACCCTGGGCCCTCGGGCAGTGCCTGAGTTTCGGAATGGTCAGTCCGCCCCTGGCCAAGGTTTTACAGTCCAACAACCAACATATTATTGCACAGAATGAAATTATTATTTGTCAGACACCAAGCATGCCATGGATTTTATGCATTTTCTCCTTAGATGATGTAATGTGCCTCATTCGCCTGCTGGACATCATAGCATAGGCATGTTTGATATCTAACTGGTTGTCATCTTCTCATGTATCAGTGTCATCATGTTCTATGTATGTAACTCAGTCGTATATGTGATTATCTAAATCATATGACATTCACTCAAATATAAAAGCCCCACTTAAAGTCTTCCTGTTCACAGCTTGTTCCTCCCCACAGTTTTTTTTTTTTTTTCTTTGGTGGACATTAGTACCTTTTTTTGATTGAACCCACTTCTTCAATTCTTGCATAGGCAAGTATGACATCACCTCAAAATCGATCCCATGTCGCTTTACGCCTTTGCTCAATAAATGCTGCATTTAGCAGGGACACCTCTGAGCCTATGTCCTGCTCCAGCAGACCAGGATTCCTCTGCCACCTCACTCCCAGTGACAGAATGGGAGCCCACTACCTCTATCTGATAAAAGCCTAACTTGTACACAGCTGCCTACATGCTATCTCACGCATGAGCAGTACATAGCTGGCTGTGAGTCATCAGGAAAACACAGCTGGATCTCATTTTAAAATGCAGTGCAGGAGATCCAAAGCCCTAAAATGGCGCTTGGGCTAGTAAGTATCTGTTTCTTAAAAGTTAGCAGCTGCAATATTTAAATCTGTTAGCTATTTGAGGATATTATTTGCTTATCTAACTGATATCACTGGTAGCCCTTGGTAGGGGACCTGGGGAGTGTGTGTTTTTTGTTGTTTTTAGATACCGTATTTTTCGCTCCTTAAGACGCACTTTTTTTCCCCCAATAAATGGGAGAAAATGTCTGTGCGTCTTATGGAGCGAATATGGAGCGGCCGGACCAGTATTCCTGCCACCGCCGTGTTAGAATAATGGGCCAGCTGCTCGGCTCTACCGTCCAGAAGAACCTGCTCCTTGGTCCTACCTGTTCCTCAGTCCAGTGGTGTTTTGCTTTCACCAGCCATCTTCTCTCTCCCCGGCGCCAGCATCTGCAGTGTGGGCACCTGTCTGTGACAGCTTGAGGCTTCACAGCCTGGTGTCCACTGCGCGTGTGCGAGAAGCGCTGTGCTTTGTGAATGGCCACCTGTAGTCTTCTTGTACCTGTCACATGTCCCAGAAGACTACAGGGAGGACAACTCTGCAGAAGTGGGAGCGGGTACCTGTCAAATTCGAGTACCCGCCCCCCCTTCTGCTCCCCAAAGGTCTGCAGTCTCTGGTCATCTCTTGTACTATGTCTGCAGTCTCTGGTCATCTCTTGTACTATGTCCACAGTCTCTGGTCATCTGCTGTAGCATGTCCGCAGTCTCTGGTCATCTCCTGTACTATGTCCGCAGTCTCTGGTCATCTGTAGTATGCCCACAGTCTCTGGTCATCTCTTGTACTATGTCCACAGTCTGTGGTCATCTCTTGTACTATGTCCACAGTCTCTGGTCATCTGCTGTAGTATGTCCGCAGTCTCTGGTCATCTGTAGTATGCCCGCAGTCTCTGGTCATCTCCTGTAATATGCCCGCAGTCTCTGGTCATCTCTTGTACTATGTCCGCAGTCTCTGGTCATCTCCTGTACTGTGTCCGTAGTCTCTGGTCATCTCCTGTACTATGTCTCTGCAGTCTCTGGTCATCTCCTGTACTATGTCTCTGCAGTCTCTGGTCATCTCCTGTACTATGTCCGCAGTCTCTGGTCATCTCCTGTGCTATGTCCGCAGTCTCTGGTCATCTCCTGTACTATGTCCGCAGTCTCTGGTCATCTCCTGTGCTATGTCCGCAGTCTCTGGTCATTTCCTGTGCTATGTCCGCAGTCTCTGGTCATCTCCTGTGCTATGTCCGCAGTCTCTGGTCATCTCCTGTACTATGTCCGCAGTCTCTGGTCATCTCCTCTACTATATCCGCAGTCTCTGATCATCTCCTGTACTATGTCCGCAGTCTCTGGTCATCTCCTATACTATGTCCGCAGTCTCTGGTCATCTCCTGTACTATGTCCGCAGTCTCTGGTCATCTCCTGTAGTACGTTTGCAGTCTCTGGTCATCTCCTCTACTATGTCCACAGTCTCTGATCATCTCCTGTACTATGTCCGCAGTCTCTTGTCATCTCCTGTACTATGTCTGCAGTCTCTGGTCATTTCCTGTACTATGTCTGCAGTCCATTGGTTCAGAATATTTTTTTTCTTGTTTTCCTCCTCTAAAATCTAGGTGCATCTTATGGAGTGAAAAATATGGTATGTCTTTGTATAATAAAGGAGTCGTTCAGGTTCCTTTGACCACCAGCCCTTTTATTTAATATAGGTATAACACAAAAACCCACTAATCCTGATTGAGTCCACAACTAATCGTTTTTAGTCCACTTCACTATTGCATTTTTGATTAGGGACTCCCGGATCACCAATGAGTATTGACCTTGAGGTTTCTGTTTGGAGGTTTTGAATATTTAAAGCTGCTGACTTTTAGTTCTCAAACACCCATATGAATTTCCAATTTAACCAGGGCATCTATATATTAGTAGATGTCACTAACCCCAGTCTAACAGATGTGTATTCCTCTGGACTATTTATAATAAAGCTGTATTAGGAATCTTTGGCTTTCAAGCTACTGTATGCTGTTTAGAATAGTCATTTGTGACTGGGCTCATTAACAGGCAGTGCAGATCCTGCAGTATTTTAATGGGATTTATGATAGCCTGCTTCATGTCTTGAGCTGTTCTTTGATCTGGTCAATGGCTTTTAAAAATTGTTGTCCCTTTCTGCAGCATAGACATCAAGATTAAATATAAATATTTTGTGAAACACTTTTTTTGGACAAATGAGAATGCGTGCACACAGAGCCTTAAAACCCACTATGGGCTGTTTCACTGCCCTTTAATCTGCAGGATTCAACACTTTTTGGTAGCATCTAAGGCCTGTTTCCCCTCTTGCACCTTGCTAGGTGCAAGAGGTGAAGCAGGCCTTAGATGCTACCAAGAAGTGTTGAATCCTGCAGATTAAATCCTTGCAGATTTTAGGGATACCCTGGTGCACATGAAGGTGCGGACTGAAACCTCTAGTTGTCTGTACTGTATGCATGTATTTACCTTATATTTTGTTTCCTGGAAGGAACCGTTTAAATTCTGGGACTCCACAGATAAAGGATACCTTCACCATTAGCAACATGTTACACCTATATTTAGGGTGTAACATGTAACAATGTACCCAGGGGCGGACTGACCATTTGGAAACTCGGACACTGCCCGAGGGCTCAGGGTCAGTAGGGGGCCCCATGAGATGCCCCTGGTACCTTTTTCATAGGCTTTTTTGAGTTTGGGCAAGGACACAGAGGACACATGATCCACTTTTGCCCGGGGGCCCCATGAGTTGTCAGTCTGCTCCTGTATGTACCCGACCCTTACCCCTTGAGCCTTCTTTTCCCTGTAGTCACTGTCACTTTTAAAATCAGCACAGCTGTGCATGTCTTCATTAATTCAGAGATCTGTGAGTGAATAAAGTACAAGTTCCAACTGCCACTGCAAAACACAAATGTGAAGTGTTCTCCATGGACCATGAGTGTGCTGATTAGCACACTTATAGTCCGTTGATACTTCCTGAGTTCAATAACTGAAAGCCCATATGGAGGTATGGGCAAAGAGCTGTAGAAAATGTCTGCAGGAGCTTGTCATGGCACCTACAATCCACTGATCGTGCATGCAATACTTTGCAGGCTCCTGTGTAAAAAAATAATACAGTGCTTTCCTGATTTCTTTTTATTTTTTTGCATTATTGTCACACTTTAAACGATTCAGATCAGCAAACAATTTTTAATTTTACACATAGATAACCCGAGTAAATACAAACTGCAGTTTTTTAATTATTTTTTCCGGTATTAAGGGAAAAAAGCTGTCCAAACCTGCCCGGCCCTATGTGAAAAAGTACTTGAGTTTGAGGTCACGAAGTGATGGTTGGACATTCTCCCTCAGGATTTTCTGGTAGAGGGCAGAATTTATGGGTCGATCAATTATGGCAAGTTGTCCAGGTCCTGAAGCTGCAAATCAGACCCAGATCATCACACTACCACCACCATATTAGACTGTGGTTCTTTTTATGAAATCCTGTGTTCGTTTTATGCCAGATGTAACAGGATTCAACCCTTCAAAAAAGTTCAACTTTTGTCTCATCAATCCACAGAATATTTGCCTAAAAGTCTTAGGGATAATGAAGATGTTTTCTGGCAAAATGTGAGATGAGCCTTTGTGTTCTTTTTGGTCAGCAGTGACTATCAGCTTGGAACTCTCCCATGGATGCAATTTTTGCTCAGTCTTTTTCTTATTGTTGAATCATGAACACTGACCTTAACTGAGGCAAGTGAGGCTTGCAGTTCTTTAGATGTTGTTATGGGTTCTTTTATGACATCCTGGATGAGTCGTTGTTGTGCTCTTGGAGTAATTTTGGTAGCCTGGCCACTCCTGGGAAGGTTCACCACTGTTCCATGTTTTCTCCATTTGTGGATAATGGCTCTCACCGTGGTCCGCTGGAGTCCCAAAGCCTTAGAAATGGCTTTGTAACCCTTTCCAGACTGATACATGTCAATTACCTTGTTTCTCATCTGTTCTTGAATTTCCTTGTGTCACAACATGATGTGTTGCTTTTTGAGATCTTTTAGCATGCTTCACTTTGTCATACAGCTTCTATTTAAGTGATTCCTTGATTCAACAGGTCTGGCAGTAATCAGGCCTGGGTGTGGCAAGTGAAATTTAACTCTGCTTTCCAAAAAAATGTGGTTAATCACAGTTCATTTATGATTTAGCAAGAGAGAGGGGGGGTAATTACTTTTTCACATAGAGCCATGCAGGTTTGGACAGCTTTTTTCCCTTAATAAACAAAATCATCATTTACAAAACCTGCATTTTGTATTACCTTTTCATTTTGGTTATCTTTGTGTAATATTAAATTTTTTTTTTTGATGATCTGAATCATTTAAGTGTAACAAACATGCAAAAAAAAAAAAAATAGGAAGGGGGCAAATACTTTTTCACAGCACTGTAAATACCGATTTTTGTTACTTGCAAAAATGTGTATTTATTATTTTTTTCTTAAAGGTGAGTTTAGCCTATACCTTTATATGTATCAGAGCTGGTCAGTTTACCGTCAAATCAAAATATTGGCCATCAGAATGTGTATCTGCTGGCCTGAAATGTGGGGCAATTCAAATTCTTTTTTGTTGGTTACACAGACATGAGCACTCTGTGCAATGTTTGTCAAACATTGTCTTTACAAACAACAAATACAGTATTCTTTCCAGAGTCTGTTTATTTCTCTATTATAATGTTAAAATAAATTGCATTTCAGATGGGATAACATGATTATATAGTATGCACAAAAGGAAATATTTTTTTTTAAATTCTACTTTTATTATCTCTTGAAGGAAAATGTTTGCCAAATATATAACTGGTTGTCAAAGGATATTTAAAAGGGCATGTAGCATTCTGTACTTCCCCATGCTGCATTGGAAAAAAAAAGAGGTAACCAACCTTACTTCACCACCTGGTGGGTGTTCCTGGATCAAAAGACTGGCTAAACAGTGTTACAAATTCTTTACAACAGTTCGCATTCATGGATTGCAAACAAATGTGTTTTTGGTTGTTTGCCTGCTGATAAATCTAGTTTTATTAGATTTTCTGGACGTTAAAATACAAACATAGTTCAAGAAACAACTGGAGATAGATGAATACTTACAATAGGTGTCAGCAGTAGAAGATGGGCAGGGGTAATATGGGAGACTCGATTCTGCACAATGGCTGCTTATAGGGGAGCTTAGAAGACCAAGAACCGGAGGAGTTTAGAGAGAATATATTGGTTGATTAAGTACAGGTAGGCCATGGTGGATGGGTTCATCCCTTAGTACGAGGGAAAATAATTGCCACTTGGTTTAAAAGGGGAGAACAATGTAATGGTTATTGAATCAAACATGAGGGCAGAAAGGACAGGAAAATAGGAAAGGGCAGTGCAGGAAAAGAGCAAGTACATTGTACAGTTGGAACATATCAAGAATATGAAATGTTTGGGTAACATTCTCTTTATTTGTCCTGGTGAGCAATGTCTCTGGTAAAGAAACTGCAGAAAAATTTTGAGTTGTCACCACACCGCTCTAGTGATAGAATGAAAAAAAAAAATATATTTTATATATATTATACTGTATATTTTTTTTTCACTATGGTTACATCGTACTGCTGTGGCGGTGATAATGTAAAATGGCTGGCTGTTTTGATATCACTATATGTCAGTGCCGCCAGCCATTACATATTTCTGATCACCGCCACAGCAGTACAATGTCAACAAACCAGTGCTGCCAGTCAGTGTCCTTAATCACCCCCACACCAGTCTCTCTCTTTCTCTCCCTCCCTCTCTCTGACCCTCTCTGACCCACACTCTCCCCCCCCTCCATCTTTCTCTCACCTCTCTCACCCCCCTTCCTCGCTCTCACCCCCTTTTCACCCACCCCCTCTCTCTTGTCAGTCCTGAACTGGACTGGCTAACTCCTAAGGGGGTGGGGTTAATTTACTAACAATGGTGTTAGTCAGTAAAGTGCAGCATGAAGTGGTTAATGTTCCGCCACTGGTCACTGATGCATTAGTGACCAGTGACAGTTATTTAACTCCTTTTGCTGCATTAGTAGCACCAGTGTCAGTGTTCATTAACCGCTTCTGTGCCACCCTATAGCAGAAATACTGCTACAGGGCGGCACGGGTGTGCAAAATCACATATATATATATGTGATTTTGCAGCTCCGGGTAGGGGGCGCCCGCCAATCGCAGACTTGGC